ATTCTTCTTTTTTACAGCTGCATATGATTTCATGTGTACCACTTATTTTTTATCTACTCATTTACTGATGGGCACTTGGGCTGTTTCCAAATCTTAACTATTATACATAGTGCCACTGTGAACTTAAGGATGCATATATTCTTTCTGATTGGTCTTTCAGAATTCTTAGGATATATTCTTAGAATTAGGATCCCTGGTCAAATGGCAGTTCCACTTTTAATTTTTTGAGGAAACTCCATATGTTTTCCATAATTGCTGCACCAGTCTGCATTTCCACCAGTAGTGTACTAGGGTTCCCTTTTCTCCACATCCTCACCAGCACTTGTCATTTGTTGATTTGTTGATGGTAGCCATTCTGACAGGTGTGAGGTGATACCTCATTGCCATTTTAATTTTCATCTCTCTGATGATCAGTGACTTTGAGAATTTTTTAATATGTCTCTTGGCCCTCTGTATATCCTCTTTGGAGAAGTGTCTATTTAGGACCTTTGCCCCCCCCCTTTTTTTTAATTGGATTGTCTTCTTTTTGTTGAGTCAGATGAGTTCTTTATATATTTTGGAAATTAACTCCTTATCAGATGTATCATTGGCAAATATGTTCATTTTGGACATTACATTACACATATGAGGGAAATCATATGATACATGTCTTTCTCTGACTGGCTTATTTCACTTAGCATAATGCTCTTCAGGTCCATCTATGCTGCCACAAAGTGTAAGATTTCTTTCTTTTTTACAGCCAAGTAGTATTCCATTGTGTAAATATAGCACAGCTTTTTTTTTTTTTATCCATTCATCTACTGATGGACAATTGGGTTGTTTCCAAATCTTAGCTATTATAAATAGCACTGCAATGAACATAGGGGTGCATATATTCTTTTGAATTAGTGCTTTGTGTTTCTTTAGATAAATTCCCAGGAGTGGAATTGCTGAGTCATAGACAGTTCCATTTTTAATTTTTTGAAGTAACTTCATACTTCTACAGTAGCTGCACCAATCTGCATCCCCACCAACAGTGCACAAGAGTTCCCTGTTTTTGTCAACACTTTCTTGATTTATTGATGATTGCCATTCTGAAAAGTGTGAGGTGATATCTAGTTGTGGTTTTTAATTTACATTTCTCTGATGATTAGTAACCTTGAGCATCTTTTCATATGTCTATTGGCCATCAGCTGTCAGGGGTGAGGAGGAAGGTTAAAGGGAATGAGCAAATAAGAGGAGAAAAAACCTCATGAATACAGGCAAAAGTGTGGTAATTGCTGGGAGAACGGTGTGTGGGAGGTGGAGGAGGATATACGGGGAATAAACGGTGATGGATAAAGATGACTTGGGTTGGTGAATACACAATACAGTGTACAGATGACATGTTATAGAACTGTGCACCTGAAACCTGTATAATTTTGTTAACCAGTGTCACCCCAATAAATTCAATAATAAGGGAAAAAGCCAATGCGCACCTTCTTTCTTTTTTTTTCAGGAAAAAAGCTAAAAATAAGTAATAAATAATAAATAAAGACAAACACATAAGCAATCAAGAGGCATAAAGAGGGAGAAGTCTGGAACATCCTGTGTGGATCCATTTTATACCCCAGAGAATTATAAAACTTATGTGACATTTTCCGTGAGCTGTGCCTCATAAATCCTAGATGCATTTTCATAAAAAATTCTAAGCCAAGGACAGCCTATAAAGGACATTCCATAGATAAAGACTTTCTTCCTGACAAATATTATTCATCTTTTTACCCAAAGGACCAGTCACCATGTTTATAAGGAGATGAGACTGAATCACCTGCCCTCTTTTCCTTCCCTTAAAGCCTCACCCTGGTAACCAGTGAATAAATAAATCACAGGCCTCCTGCTTAAATCCTTCTTTCTCAACATCTATCCTTATTTCTTATTCATTCTTTCTTAGAGAAAGAAATATTGCTTTACAATAATAACATGCTCCAAATACTATTTTCTCACTATTCTCTTTCATTATGCCCTCTAATATAGCTTTTTTCTATTGTTTATGCCCACTAATATACCTTTAACATATTTATACCTACCAGCATCATCTTCTTACCATTTAAATATACTCATTGTGTCCCACTTAAAAACTATCCCTCAAAATTTATTATCCCACGGGTATCCAATATCCCTTCTTTATATCACAAATTAGTGATGCTTGCTTACACCTAAATGTGACTGCTGGTGTCCCATGGGGCATTTGAGCTTTTCCTGTGCTCAAATGAAGACATTCTTGCTGCCTATTGAATATCTCCATCTGAGTGTCTCATAAGTACCGAAAGCTCAGAATATCCAAACCTAAAATTGTTGTCTCTAATTTCTTTTCCCCAACATGTTTCTGTGCCTATTTTCCCATTTTAGTAAACAGAATATACATATATCTAGATGTCCAAACTGAGAATCATGTGAGATGTTCTTTTATGTATTAAGATTGACATCCAGTCACTTAGTCAGTGAGTACCATTATTTGTGTCTCCATAGTAAATCTCAATTCATTTTCCTTTCATCCCAATAACAGTGCATTAATTAAAAATTTTATCATGTTAGTTCAATAACTCAATACTTACATCAAGTTATATCCATATTTTCTAGTCATCAAAAATATATCATCAAATCTCAAAGTCAGGGTATACTGAGATATTTTCCTAATCTAGTTTAGAAACCTCATCAGTAAAGGAAATGAGTCAGTAAATATGATATTATGATTTATTCTATGACATTACTTAAATGATGCATGACTTTTCATTCATTTTGTTGTTTTGCTTTATTTTTACTTTTTGTCTCTATGATAGAGTCTTTCTGATCCTCAATTCCCATGGTGACATTTTATTTTATTTGTTTGTTTGTTTTATTGCTTAAAGTATTACAAAGGGTAATACATATGTCTCCTTTTTTCCCCCACCCTTGACATTTTAAAACAAGCTTTAGAGAAAAAAAATATCAAGATTTGTTTGAAACTCCAAATATATAATTTGGATTGATTCAAAGTTGTATGCATAAATCTCTCTAGCAGGGACAATCTTGACCAAATGCACATAATTCTAGAAAAATATGATCTTCCAAAACTCAGTCAGGGAGAATCAGAAAACCTAAATAGACTAATAACTGCTGAAAAAATTGAAGTAATCAAAAACTCCTCGCAAACAAAATCCCTGGTCTCTATGGCTTCACCTGGGAGTTTTACCAAACATTCAAAGAAGGACAGACATCTATCCTCAAACTATTACAAAGAATTCAAGAGGAAGGAACACTTAGATTAGATCTTAAATTATGTCACCATTTCAAAAAAATTTAATTATGTGAGGTGGTGGATGTATTAACCTCAATGAAGCAAGTATTTTACAATGTTACATATAGCAAATCATCACATTGTACACCTTAAATTTACACAATAAGTTAATTATATCTTAATCACGCTGGAAGGTAAAAAAAAAATCAAATCCAAAACAATTTTTTAAAACAGAACAGAAAGCCATAATACAATATCTAAAATTATTTTTAAAATCATTTTCAAATAGAGAAAAATAAATTTAACTGGATTTAAAATATCTCAAAAAATTATAAAATAAAAAGGACTTGAAATATCAGAAAAGCAACCCTCATTCAAGTCTAGAATAATATTTCTCAGTCTCAAATCTGGTCACAATTTTTTTAAAAAGTACAACATCTATTCAATCCTCTGTATCTGTTGGTTTTGCATCTATAAATTTAACCAACCATGATCAAAAACAGTATTTTCAATCAGCTGTATACTTTTTACTATATCATTTTGCATAAGGGACTTATCAATTCTCAGATTTTGTTACCTGTAGAGGGTGCTTGAACCAATCCCCCATGTATACCAAGGGACAACTGTGCTTACAAATTTTTTATAAATTCTGAAAATTTTACTTTAAAATATCACATGTTCTTGGCTATAGAGGTAATGAAGAATGTGAGAAAAATTTAATAATTATAAGGCATCAAAGCTTAACAAGGTTTATAATCATCAAATTATTAATCTAGAGTTGTCACTAAACAAAGAAATACACTTACCAAATTGAAATATTTATAAGAATCATTTCATCATTTCAGAACAGTGTAACCAGAACATTGTAGCTAGACAAAATTTTCTCTGAAAAGTTGTCATAATCATAGAAATGAAGATGTCATTTAATAATAGACAAAATAATTCATAATTACTCTTTTAAAATGTTAATAGCTTATACTATAGTAATTCAATTTTATTCTAAGTTTCCCTTTGCCACAAGATCAGAGTGCAAAAAAATACAAGCCAAGCTTCTAAAGGTCTCATCACATTGTAACCTGAAATGAATTTAAAACTAAATAAGAATATGGTCTCAAGGCAATCTAAGTATATTTTTCTTAATGCTTATACTGCTTTTTAAATACTTCATCTATGGTTATCTTGATTGAAATAAAGATTTTTTCCAAATAAATAAATTTCCATATCTAGACATTGAAATGTAAAATATACAAGAAGATAGGAGTGGAAACAGGATAGAAATGTTTGTCTCAGAAGGTATCAATTGGAAAGAGAATAAAGGATATAATGAATTATACTAAAGAAAAGAAAATACCACATAACTCTCAATATGTGACTCAAACTCAAGGAATTTAAAGTAGATAAGAGAACTGAAGAAAAGAAAATGCCTTTTTCACTACAAGCTACATATAGAGAAAATATATATGTCTGTATACTTTACCCTTGTCAACAGGGTTTAGTTTAAATATGATATTTTGAGTAATTATTTCAATCACACACTTATTTTACATCAAAATAAGTATATTTTATACACTCTGGATTGAATGAAAATAACAAGTAATTTTAAACCAGTCATTTTTATTATTCATTTTCCAACCTGCAGGCCACATCTTGGGGTTTCCTTTCATTTCCCTGTTCACAAACCTCCTTCCAAATGACTACCATCTTTTAAAGTATGTAGTTCAGAATCCCCTAGCCTCTGATAGCTAGCTTATTTAAGGTTTCACTATAGCTGTGGAAGAGGCCGCTCCTTTAGTTCTATATGGTTGACACTCTATATTTCAATAGTAGAAACCTATTCAGGAACAGCAGGCAATGGAAAAGGCCCTTCAAATTTTGGATTCTCTTTTAAAGTCACTAATTCTGGAACATCTATTGTTATGGAAGATTGAAATTCAGTAGATAAATTCTTTACCAGAGCCTCATCTGCAGGAGGTGTTGTAGATGGTGAAGACTGAACTTCATCAATGGAGTGTTTTGAAGAGATATTTGAAATATTGGCCTCTTCAGATGATGAAAGTTTTTTGAAAACAGAGACAATTTCTGAAGTAGTTTCTTCAGTTGGTGGAAGATGAAGTTCAGCAGCGATCTTTTCAGTTGGGGCCTGCTCAGCTGGTGGAGACTTAACTTTCACTGGGGCCTCTGCTGCAGAAACCTTCTCAGCTGGTGGAGACTTAAGTTTCACTGGGGCCTCTTCTGACGGGACCTTCTCAGCTGGTGGAGACTTAACTTTCACTGGGGCCTCTTCTGCTGAGGCCTCCTCAGCTGGTGGAGACTTAACTTTCACTGGGGCCTCTTCTGCAGAAACCTTCTCAGCTGGTGGAGACTTAAGTTTCACTGGGGCCTCTTCTGACGGGACCTTCTCAGCTGGTGGAGACTTAACTTCCACTGGGGCCTCTTCTGCTGAGGCCTCCTCAGCTGGTGGAGACTTAACTTTCACTGGGGCCTCTGCTGCAGAAACCTTCTCAGCTGGTGGAGACTTAAGTTTCACTGGGGCCTCTTCTGACGGGACCTTCTCAGCTGGTGGAGACTTAACTTCCACTGGGGCCTCTTCTGCTGAGGCCTCCTCAGCTGGTGGAGACTTAACTTTCACTGGGGCCTCTGCTGCAGAAACCTTCTCAGCTGGTGGAGACTTAAGTTTCACTGGGGCCTCTTCTGACGGGACCTTCTCAGCTGGTGGAGACTTAACTTCCACTGGGGCCTCTTCTGCTGAGGCCTCCTCAGCTGGTGGAGACTTAACTTTCACTGGGGCCTCTGCTGCAGAAACCTTCTCAGCTGGTGGAGACTTAAGTTTCACTGGGGCCTCTTCTGACGGGACCTTCTCAGCTGGTGGAGACTTAACTTCCACTGGGGCCTCTTCTGCTGAGGCCTCCTCAGCTGGTGGAGACTTAACTTTCACTGGGGCCTCTGCTGCAGAAACCTTCTCAGCTGGTGGAGACTTAAGTTTCACTGGGGCCTCTTCTGACGGGACCTTCTCAGCTGGTGGAGACTTAACTTCCACTGGGGCCTCTTCTGCTGAGGCCTCCTCAGCTGGTGGAGACTTAACTTTCACTGGGGCCTCTGCTGCAGAAACCTTCTCAGCTGGTGGAGACTTAAGTTTCACTGGGGCCTCTTCTGACGGGACCTTCTCAGCTGGTGGAGACTTAACTTCCACTGGGGCCTCTTCTGCTGAGGCCTCCTCAGCTGGTGGAGACTTAACTTTCACTGGGGCCTCTGCTGCAGAAACCTTCTCAGCTGGTGGAGACTTAAGTTTCACTGGGGCCTCTTCTGACGGGACCTTCTCAGCTGGTGGAGACTTAACTTCCACTGGGGCCTCTTCTGCTGAGGCCTCCTCAGCTGGTGGAGACTTAACTTTCACTGGGGCCTCTGCTGCAGAAACCTTCTCAGCTGGTGGAGACTTAAGTTTCACTGGGGCCTCTTCTGACGGGACCTTCTCAGCTGGTGGAGACTTAACTTCCACTGGGGCCTCTTCTGCTGAGGCCTCCTCAGCTGGTGGAGACTTAACTTTCACTGGGGCCTCTGCTGCAGAAACCTTCTCAGCTGGTGGAGACTTAAGTTTCACTGGGGCCTCTTCTGACGGGACCTTCTCAGCTGGTGGAGACTTAACTTCCACTGGGGCCTCTTCTGCTGAGGCCTCCTCAGCTGGTGGAGACTTAACTTTCACTGGGGCCTCTGCTGCAGAAACCTTCTCAGCTGGTGGAGACTTAAGTTTCACTGGGGCCTCTTCTGACGGGACCTTCTCAGCTGGTGGAGACTTAACTTCCACTGGGGCCTCTTCTGCTGAGGCCTCCTCAGCTGGTGGAGACTTAACTTTCACTGGGGCCTCTGCTGCAGAAACCTTCTCAGCTGGTGGAGACTTAAGTTTCACTGGGGCCTCTTCTGACGGGACCTTCTCAGCTGGTGGAGACTTAACTTCCACTGGGGCCTCTTCTGCTGAGGCCTCCTCAGCTGGTGGAGACTTAACTTTCACTGGGGCCTCTGCTGCAGAAACCTTCTCAGCTGGTGGAGACTTAAGTTTCACTGGGGCCTCTTCTGACGGGACCTTCTCAGCTGGTGGAGACTTAACTTCCACTGGGGCCTCTTCTGCTGAGGCCTCCTCAGCTGGTGGAGACTTAACTTTCACTGGGGCCTCTGCTGCAGAAACCTTCTCAGCTGGTGGAGACTTAAGTTTCACTGGGGCCTCTTCTGACGGGACCTTCTCAGCTGGTGGAGACTTAACTTCCACTGGGGCCTCTTCTGCTGAGGCCTCCTCAGCTGGTGGAGACTTAACTTTCACTGGGGCCTCTGCTGCAGAAACCTTCTCAGCTGGTGGAGACTTAAGTTTCACTGGGGCCTCTTCTGACGGGACCTTCTCAGCTGGTGGAGACTTAACTTCCACTGGGGCCTCTTCTGCTGAGGCCTCCTCAGCTGGTGGAGACTTAACTTTCACTGGGGCCTCTGCTGCAGAAACCTTCTCAGCTGGTGGAGACTTAAGTTTCACTGGGGCCTCTTCTGACGGGACCTTCTCAGCTGGTGGAGACTTAACTTCCACTGGGGCCTCTTCTGCTGAGGCCTCCTCAGCTGGTGGAGACTTAACTTTCACTGGGGCCTCTGCTGCAGAAACCTTCTCAGCTGGTGGAGACTTAAGTTTCACTGGGGCCTCTTCTGACGGGACCTTCTCAGCTGGTGGAGACTTAACTTCCACTGGGGCCTCTTCTGCTGAGGCCTCCTCAGCTGGTGGAGACTTAACTTTCACTGGGGCCTCTGCTGCAGAAACCTTCTCAGCTGGTGGAGACTTAAGTTTCACTGGGGCCTCTTCTGACGGGACCTTCTCAGCTGGTGGAGACTTAACTTCCACTGGGGCCTCTTCTGCTGAGGCCTCCTCAGCTGGTGGAGACTTAACTTTCACTGGGGCCTCTGCTGCAGAAACCTTCTCAGCTGGTGGAGACTTAAGTTTCACTGGGGCCTCTTCTGACGGGACCTTCTCAGCTGGTGGAGACTTAACTTCCACTGGGGCCTCTTCTGCTGAGGCCTCCTCAGCTGGTGGAGACTTAACTTTCACTGGGGCCTCTGCTGCAGAAACCTTCTCAGCTGGTGGAGACTTAAGTTTCACTGGGGCCTCTTCTGACGGGACCTTCTCAGCTGGTGGAGACTTAACTTCCACTGGGGCCTCTTCTGCTGAGGCCTCCTCAGCTGGTGGAGACTTAACTTTCACTGGGGCCTCTGCTGCAGAAACCTTCTCAGCTGGTGGAGACTTAAGTTTCACTGGGGCCTCTTCTGACGGGACCTTCTCAGCTGGTGGAGACTTAACTTCCACTGGGGCCTCTTCTGCTGAGGCCTCCTCAGCTGGTGGAGACTTAACTTTCACTGGGGCCTCTTCTGCAGAAACCTTCTCAGCTGGTGGAGACTTAAGTTTCACTGGGGCCTCTTCTGACGGGACCTTCTCAGCTGGTGGAGACTTAACTTCCACTGGGGCCTCTTCTGCTGAGGCCTCCTCAGCTGGTGGAGACTTAACTTTCACTGGGGCCTCTGCTGCAGAAACCTTCTCAGCTGGTGGAGACTTAAGTTTCACTGGGGCCTCTTCTGACGGGACCTTCTCAGCTGGTGGAGACTTAACTTCCACTGGGGCCTCTTCTGCTGAGGCCTTCTCAGCTGGTGGAGACTTAACTTTCACTGGGGCCTCTTCTGTAGGAATCTTCTCAGCTGGCGGAGACTTAACTTTCACTGGGGCCTTTTCTTTAGGGGCCTCCTCAGCTGGTGGCGATTGCACTTCAGCAGAGATCTTTTCTACTGTCGGAGGCCTTACTTCAACTACAAAGTCATGCTCATATAAAAGTACTGGAGTATCTTCTTTGATTTGTTGACTAAATGAAGATCTGTTGGTACTTTTCTTCCTAATTTCCTCATTGCTACTTGTTGCAGGTTGAAATTCAGGATGCTCAGTAATTAAAGTCTTCCCTGAGGATTTACGTTTCTGCGCAGCATCCTCTGACTTTGAAAAAGAACTACTTGGACTGCCAATAAACATTTTTGATTCACCAAAGCTCTTCTGTTCTTTGTCTTCATCTCCAGTGTTAATGGTTTGATCAGATCCGTCTAATTTTTGTTGACCTGAGTGTTTGCTTGATGGAATTTCTTCTCCGTGAACACTCTCTGGAAATTCAGAAGCTGCTTCTCCCACAGCAGCTGGTTTTTCTTTAGGTACCACTGTTTCATCATCTGGCTTGGTTTCCTTGATCTCTTCAGTAATGATGTCTGTCTGCAAACATTTATCAGCCTTATCTTGCACACGCTTTCTCTTTGTCCAAGTTTGCTGAAGCTGAGAAGATAATCTAAGAGACTCATAGTTGACTCTGCTTTCAGGAATATTACTAATATTAAGGTTAGCTTTGGGGTCACATGGTTGTGGTATAGGCAAGAGACACTTTATCTCTGATATATCAGTCTGTTGGGATTTGTCTACCATTGGTTGGCTAGGTCTTCTTTTCTTTCGAATTTCTTGCCTCCCTGCTGAGATAGGCTGATCAGGTTCATCACTTCCTTCCATATTTAAAACTGCTGAATTTGAAATTTACTAACAGCTGGAATCACAATGTACCAAATGGTTAAGTTAAGCCTTTACTTTCCGTCATTAAGTGTTATTCGGTTGAGCTCTTTCAGAAAAAAAAGTAATTTATAAATTACTGAATTCTGCATTACACTTTTTGAACCCTACCTTACTAAGTAAGCATCTTTCTTATTTAGTCTCTACTGTGACTAAATCTCACTTCTAGAAGTTTTCCTCAAGTGTCTATGACATCATAGGCAATTCTCACTACAATGTTCCATCTATGGTAGTCCCAGCACTTTTTAACTTGGTAAACACTCATGGGAAATGGCTGCAAGAAAGAGATCTACTTTTGAAACATCAAGTTGAAAAAGAATCTGTCTATCATGGGAACATAAGTAAACTCCAGTATTGCTGCTGTCTAATAACTAAAATTGATGCTTTTGAACTTTCAATTCTGTTCTTTTCATCCTACTATCAAAGACAGTTAAATTGCAGAATTCACAATGCTGCAGGCTATTTTCAATTGTTGGAGAAAACAACTAACAGATATTTGACAATATTCAATCAATGTATGATTTTGTGGTTTGAAAGTTAATATTGTTTGAAAAATTTGAGTTCTGAGGACCATAACCTTGTAAACGCCTTTCTTATGTCTTTAACATTCAGCAACACAAGAATAGATAGATAGATAGATAGATAGATAGATAGATAGATAGATATAGATATAGAGAGATAGATATTCTTCTACTCCATTGTGATATATATATATATAGTATGCCATGCTACATATTTTTGTTTTCAACTATTTCAGAGAATAGTTTCATTCAAAGTTTGCCAAATAAGTAATGTTGAGTCTAAAGATAAATCAAGTGAAAAAATAATGTATTTTAATGTAATCACTACATATTCTGCTTAATAACCACATAGAAATGAATTCCCCAATGAAAATTAAAAATTTAAATTGAAGCTTTGAAAAACAGAAACTCCATTTAGCAAACTGCAAATGGCACTATATTCTATTTGGAATATAAATAAAACTTTAACTTATATGTGACAAAAATTTTACTAGAAAGATGAACATTGGTCAAAAGATGTACAAAACATATTTCTTTAGTCTAAAGAAAGTTCAAGAGGAGACAATAGACTTTGAAAATATAGTATAATCAAAAGAGAAAAGGTAATAAACATATTTAAACAATTATTATGACTTCATTAACCTGAAAATATTTTTTTAAATGGTGGCTCAGTTGGTTGGAGCATTGTGCTGTACACCAAAAAGATAGAAGGTTTGATTTCTGGTGAAGGCACACACCTAGGTATGGATTTGATACCCGGTCAGGGGCATTTGGGTGGCAACCGATGAATGTTTTTCTCTTACATCAATGTTCTTTCTCTCTCTCTCTCTCTCTCTCTCTCTCTCTCTCTCTCTCTTTCTCTCTCTCCCTTCAAGAAAAAAAAATCAATAAACATATCCTATCCTGAGGATTTAAAAAATGTTAATGCTGTATTGCCTCTAGGAAATATAAAAGTATCATTGAATAATTCCCTTTATTTGATACACGTTATTCATAACTATAGCTAGGTTATCTTAGCCAAATAAATGAGGACTTTCCACATTTTTTGACCCAGCCCCTAAAACACTCTCTGTCTCTTGGAAGGGATCAGTGAATATTTGTTCAGTGTCATCATTGGAGGAAAATTATTAGATTGAAGGAACCATTATTTAAAAAAATTCTGACTGCTTGTCTTTTTTTCCCTTTCTTTATTGATTAAGGTATTACATATGTGTCCTTATCCCCCCATTGCCCTCTCCCTGACTGCTTGTCTTTTATCTCAACTACTTCTGCTCTCATTTTTGTCTATTCTACTTCATTGTGTTATATCCTTCAAATAGTCATTTATAATTGAATTGACATAGGTTTTAATAATATCTGATACAGTTTGAAAACTAGGTTATTTATCATCCTCTTTGTGTCTAGTATTCCTTGCAATTGCATCTGTAAAATATTGCATGTGTATTTTATACTCAAGTTTCTGATATTTTATTTAGTATCTTCAGTGTCTATTTTGGGCCCATTTATAACAAGAAATAAGTGTCAAAAAGGGATTATAATAATTGAGTTAACATAACTGCATGTATCAGACTAATTTTGCTGCCACAACTTAAATAAAATTTTATCAAATTTTCCAGAGACATAAACTGAATTTCTAATTTAGTTAAATTAAATTAGCATTTTCCTATTCTTTAATATTTATATTTTTTTCATGCAGGAAATAATGAAAAGCTTCATCTTTTTAAATTATACACCAAGCTATCATAGTAAGCTGTCTTTTGCACTAGCTTATTTATAAAAGCAAATTAGCACACCTAAATAATCTGTTAAAATTTACTTGTGATTTCAAATAGAATTATGAAGGATTTCATGTAGCAGTTTCTCATCATATCTTTTAACATTCACAAATGCTACTTTTGCCCTGATGATCTGCCTAACCAACTAATCATTAATCTATGTTGTCAACTTAGGGTTTGGTGTTTTACCCCTTGTTCTGGCAACCACTCATAATTCAGCTCTCTTCACTTCATTTGGTTCACATCTTGAATTGTGTAGCCCAAAAAGATAAGTCCTAATCTCCTGCTAATGTGGCTTTATTTGGAAAGAGTCTTTCTGGATGTAATCAAGTTAAGATGGTACCATTATAAAAAGAAGAAAATTTTATTACAAAAAGACACAGAGGGAAGATGGCCATGTGACGATGAGGACAGAGATTAGAGTTATGCTTCAATAAAACAATGAACACCCAGAGATAATGGAAGCTGGAGGAAGCAATGAAAGATCCTCTCCTAGAGGCTTCAGAGGGATTACGGCCCTGCCAACACCTTCATCTGGGCCTCTACAGCTGTGAGAGAATGACTGTTGTTTTAACCCAGTTTGTGCTATTTTCTTATGGAAACCCTAAGAAACTAATACAACTTCTTTTCAGAGCCTCATATTTTTTAATCCTACCTATCATGCTGTACTTCTGACTCTTTATCAATCTCCAGAGCTAATTTCTTTATCTCTGACTCAGGTCTGGCATTTAGTTTCACACAATATTTGGCTTATTTCTATAATCATAAAACCAAAAGAATTTACTAAAAGGCCTCTGCCAAGTGATTTACATTTAATTTTACCAAAAACAAATTTGTTGAGTGGCACGTAATTTTATTTATAACTTTAATGGTTTTAAAAACTATTATTTTATAGATAGCAGAGATGTTTCAAATCAATATAAACCAAATATCTAAACTGTGACTTTTATGGCTTTGTTCTTAATTAAGTAGATCAAAGAAGATGAAGTCTGAAAAATTCCCATTGAATATGACAACTACTAAGTCATTGGTAATTTTAGTAAGAGCAATTTCAGTGTAAGGGTGAAGATCCTTTATAATAAAAGCCCAATATGCAAATTGTCCCCTCAACTGGGAGTTCTACCGGGAGTTTGACTGCTCACTATGATGTGCGCTGACCACCAGGGGGCAGCACAAACATGGCGGGCATTGGCGATGTGGCACTGGCAGTGGCAGCAGTGGAGGCGCTGCAGTCTCCAATGGACCCTGACAACAGCGGGACGTGGCAGGATGTTGGAGTGGGTGAGTAGGCAGTGGCAGGCCAAGGCGAGTGTGAGCAGGGGGCTGATTGCTCTGTCGATCACCCTGCATATGGTGATCAGTGGCGGTGGCAGGGTGCAGGAACCCTGGCCCCGACTGATCGCCCTGCAGATAGGAACCAGCATCCACAGGCCCTGATTGCCCAACTGGGGCCAGACCCCAGGCTGGGACTGGGAACTGGGGGTGAGTGGCAGCGACCAACCTCCTGCAGTGCCCGGCAGGTGCTGTGACCTCTTGCCAGCTACGCGGGGGCAGGGGTGACAGGAATGGAGGTATGATGAGAATACGGGGTGTCTGTCAAGCATGCTCTAACTCCCCCTGCTACCTTCCCCCAGGACGCCAGGGCTCTTCCAGATGAGCCGGGCTGTAGCAGTGAGGACCACAGGGGCCAGTCAGGCTCCCTGTGGGTTCATGTAGGAGCTGATCTGCAAGGCCAGCCAGGAAAGAGCGCACTGCCTGCCCAGCTTCTGTGTAGCACCAATGGGTGGCCTAGAGGCCCATGCTGTGCCCCGGCCCACGGCATCCAGCATCCAGTCGCACTTACCGCATCTCTGCAAGGGGACTCTGGCGCCATGACTCAGGCAGAGGGGGGAACACAGGGATTCCGGTGGCCCAGGTGCTGCCCAGGGCCCAGAGGTCAGCTGGGACCTGTCCTTCCATGCCAGGCACTCAATCACTGGCCAGGCCTAGGGACCACACCCATGCACTTATTTCGTGAACTGGGCCTCTAGTAGAAGACATAAAATTCTAAATCTGTGAATTAAAAAGCAACAAAATTAAAATATAATAAAAAACATGAAAAATAAATATGTGAAAATATCACAAAGAACTATACTTAAAATACTAAAAGATCTTAGAAATCAACATAAATATAACAATGAAATATTAACAAAGGACATAAGTAGAAAATGTATAGAAGGAAATAAGTGACCAATAAGCATATATAAAAGATACAATTTACTTATAATATTAAAATTAAAATAATACAAATGTAAAATTAGCAGAATTTTTTAACAAATATTTTTTTAAAGATAATACCCTACCTCCCAAAAAGGAAGCATATTATTAAATGGATGGTCCTACATTAATTACTAGCAGGAGTTTAAATTGATATAATCTTTATTCTGGATAATTTGAAAGTAAATATCAAAAGTTTTTTAAATGTGCATGCCATTTGCCAAAAATTCTACTTATAAGAAACTTAATTTTTGGAAATAATGGTTCCTTCAAGAAATATGTATTGAGAACTTATCTATTCCAGGAACAACTACTAGGTATTGGGGTGACAACCAAATACAAAAAGATATTTTTTCCTATTCTTGTGAATATCCCAGTCTAATGGAAGAAA